TTAATTCTAATAGTGATTAAAGTAGAAATGAATTCTAGTGTTTGTTATTATAATGAAAAGTCAACTTGGTATTTTTTTTGTTTGTTTTCGAATGGATCATGAATTTACTTTGTTTGTTTATTTAATGTTTAGATTTACATGAATTAATAAATGGATTTGCCCCAATATGGAACAAGCTAGTAATAGTGGTAATATTAATAATACTAATAATACAATATGGATAGTGGCTAACAGTGGAATCCAAGATACGCGTTTCGTCCTATTTTAGACTCATCAGCTGGATATAGCTGTATCTTAGAGTTGATGTTCATTCTGGGACTTGAACTCAATACCGTTCGCTTCAAACGCTACCAGGTTATCCATTTAACTACTAAGTTATGATAGTTAGATCAATGGGAAGATTCAAGTAAACAATACCAAGTGAATAATACAATATATATTCATTTCAAGTTTAGTTGACACTTTGTATGTATAGAAATTTTTTTAAGGAATTCTCCATATTTGACCTTTATATGATCATTATCTATTGACGTATACGGTATTTAACTAAACATAATAAAATGAAATTACACTGATATTATTATTACTATAAACATTGGTACGAAGAGGCACCAAATAGATATGCGTCACATAAATCATTCGACTTGTATGAGAGCTGGGATTTGCCCCAGGTTTCCAAACCGAAATAGGTGATTTTGTTAGGAGGCCACATCCCGAGCCTTTGACTTAAAGGTCTAATCCATAAGGCAGTAGAAGTAGTCCCATGGTAGCCGGTGACCAACAATAGGTTAATATGCCATTTGTTCCTTTAGGATCCTGTGGTCTATGTGTACTATTGGTTTGAAACATTTTGAGAGAATGAACTGACTCTCTTCACTCTCACCCATACCAGAACATTTTGGGAACTATACTGATATCAACATACATTAACAATAACAATGTATTTTGTACATTAGAAAATGAGTGAATTAAATTTACATACACATTTCATTATTACAATATAATGTAATTTCAAATTAATTAACTACCGATAGGAATTTTGTATTAATTTCAATGTTGTAAATGATAAGAGAAACTTCATAAAATGATGTGAAAGTTTTTCAAGTTAAACTGTGTTGATCACACAAGAAAGTAGCTATCAGGACTCAATGGCTAAGTTAATAAAATGATGGCGTTTGAAACGAACGATATTGAGTTCGAGTTGTGCAGTAAACGTCAACTCTAGGATGCAGGCTACATTCAGCTGACGAGTCCTAAATAGGATGAAACGCGCGTCCTGGATTTCACTGTTAGCCACTAACCATCTTTTCTTATTATTATGTTGATAATATTTAAGATATTTAGTTATTTCCAGAGTAATTTTCATTGTAACTATGTTATCATGACTTAATAGTAATGATGTCTAAAAGAAGAATAATGAAAGCTTCACAATTATACCTTTCATCCAATGACAGGACAATGTATATTTAATATTCTCATTCTAAGCTACAAATTTTTGCCTATTCTCTAATAGTTATAGAGTAATTATAAAATTACAGATTAAAGTAATACCTTCAGATTAATGAACTAGAAACCGGTGGCTCATACCATTCAGTCACCTATTGTTATCCATACTATATTTCATTCACTGTATATTACATTATGAAATTTATGATAAATCCAGTTATCAATTAGTAGTTTATAGTTGATAAGAGTTATAAGTAGTATATTATATCACATTTCTTTATAATTTATTACATTAATCTAATGAGTAAATGAATAAGTGAATACAGTTATTCATGTTCAGACACATTCTTATTCAAATACTTAACGTTCAAATATACAAAATGTGACATGGGACTAACTTATTTAAAGTTAGGTGTAAAATTTGACTTACACAAGAAAACTAAATGAAAAACTATAACGGATAGCTGTCTCTATTTCATTAATATTCTCATAAATAAAAACCAAATATTCGGAAATTCAACCTGATATATAAAGATTTTAATAGTTGAATTCATGAGTCGATTGAAGCTAGACCACAATGAAAAAACTTGGGAGCACTAGACGACCGTTTCGTCAAAGTATGGGACTCCCGTGCAGTGTGCATCCAAGATCCCGTCTGAGTGATCTAGAAGTTAGGCGTTCGCGCACAAGACCGATAGGTCCTGGGTTCGAATCTCGCGAGGTAGGATCATAGATGAGCACTGCTGAGAAGTTCCATTCTAGAAAGAAACGGCTGTCCAATGTTTCCAGGTCTTCCATGATGGTTTTGCTTCAACTAACTTATGAATTCAACTATTAAATTACCATAATATCTATAAACCCCACCCCTTTGAATACATAGATTTACATGAAGGTAAATATAAGGGTGAAATGGGGTTCAAACTTACGTAGTAGCTGCAAACAGGACAAGTTAATTACTAGTTCACTACTTCAGAGGAATAGTAGAGAATTTTTTAAACTGAAATAAGCATTCCAAATGTGATTTATTCACTGAAATACTTGTACATTCAGTTAACATGTTCCAAATAAGACGAAATGTGTGTCTTGAATTTCATTGCTAACCGCTTTACCAACTTTAATCAAAGTTATCAATATACTTCCACAGACAAGTTTTTTAAGGTTTGTCTGAACAGTTTGCTTTGCAAAAGATACATATTTTAGTATACAATATAATATTTCTCATACCACAAATATTTTGATCTAAACCTATCCAAAATTAAGTTCATTTATAATTAGATTGGTTAGGGAAAACTATTCTTTCTAGTTGTTTAATAAGAGCTCATTATCTGACATGTTCATGTACTTTCCTTTCCGCTTAGTATATCGGTACCACATAGAAGTGTGTAGTTTCCACTGGGGACTTTAGTTTAGTCATCCAAAGTTATCTACATGTGCCTCACCCCCGTTAACATATTATTGAAATGTATACCAACTTTCCGGATAAAACAAAGCTGATAAAATGTTGTCTAAAGCCTAAAATGAAATTCTTAATGAAAAATATATTGCTCACTAAATAAATCTTATGCTTTGTAAATCACTTAGAAGTAATGGTTAAATATTATTTAATTATTACATCTTAAAATTATCTAAATTACTTATCCTTTCGTTAAACAAAATTTAATGACCATTGTTGTTGATGTCTAACTTCAATCAATCCATGAAATTGCCCCACCATACATCATTGTCTTTAACGGGTTACTATCTTACAGCAGACCTGGTTGAACTCCACTGATCACGGCTTCTCAGTAGAACTTCAAGAAATACCGTGAGTACATACTGCTGAGAAGTCCTATACTAGGATGAAACGACTATTCAGTCCTTCCAGGTTTTCTATGGTGATCTAGCTTTAATTGACTTATAAATTGAACTATTCAATGACTTAAATCTTCACAAAACACCCTTCCTTACATATATGTTTGTTAACAATAACCATTTGTACTATTATTATAAAGTAATTATTATATGAGCTTATAATGTCATACTTCATCGATCTGTGAATATATATGTTCTCTTAGAAGACTATGATAACTTTAGGAATAAACTAATCAGTTTACAGATGACATTGTTATGAATTCATCAAAACTATTAGAAATAATCATCATTTCATTTGAGATTAATGTAAACTGAAACAAACATGGATTCATGAAGTTGAAGTTGTAGTTGACAATATTATTCAAAACAACATTGAAAGGTTAATTAATTTATAAATAAGAACTTTCGTCTAAATTTGAACGAATAGTTTCACAATATTTGGGCGCCGAGTTGATGTGAGATATGGAAAGAGGAAGAATGTATTTGTAAAATCTCAGTGAATGAATTTGAAGTAAATCTAATGTTTCGCCTGGCAATCTGGTCCAAGTTTTTTTCAAGGAAAATATAATCAACAATCACAAGCATCGAATATAAATGAGTACATAGTTTTCCGATTTACTATATACTGAATAGGTCATCCGGTCAACATTAACAATGTTTAAAGTAGATATTTGCATTAGTGTGTAAATACAAATACATTCTTCCTCTTTAATGTCTCATATTAACTCGGCGCCCAAATATTGTGAAACTATTCGTTCAAATTTAGACGAAAGTTCTTATTTATAACACAAGACATAGAATTATTAAAGATGGTCTGCTTGAATATCTGATTTAACTGTTCCTTCAGTCTAGATATTTCAACAAATTATCTATTTTTTTTGTGAGTTTACAACTTATAAAAAGATCCAATCAAAGATATTGTAATTGTTAGCAATGTGTAACAATGAAAAGAATGTACATTATTTAGATATGGATTCGTGAACTCTAATGATGTTTTGTTTTTATTTCAATGAACTTTGTGTCATACTTCAAGAATTCATTGAATGCCTTCAATGCAATGGATTGATCATCAAGATTATTAATAGCATGATCTATTCAAGTGAGTTTATGAAAGGTTTACAATCTTTCATTGTACAAGTTACAAAATTGTATAATCGAAAACATTGTGATGGATGGTGGTAATTTGTATTGAAATGAATGAATATTGTTCAGATGTCAACTTTTGAACGGCTAACGTCTAATTATATATATATATATATATATATATATATATATATATTAATATCAGATGGGTTTTGTGGATATTATAGTAATTTCAATGGTCAAGATCATGAGTCAGTTGAAGCTAAACCACCATGGAAAACCTGTAAGTACTGGACGGCCGTTTCGTCCTATTGTGGGACTCCTCAGCAGTGCGCATGCACGACCTCACCCCCTTGCAGGATTCGAACCCAGGGCCTAGTGGTTTCGCGTGCGAGCACTTGACCACTAGACCACTGAGCCGGCATCCAACGGTTTTAATGTCTAATTTTAACTAATCCACGAAATTGAACGATACATCCACCATTGTCAAGATTGATCAAGAATTAATAAAAAAAGGAAACTTGTTGAAATACTCTATGCTGAGAGTTCTATATTATGCCCAAAAATATAATACTGAATAAACCCATTAATAATAATAGTAATAGTAATAGTAAACTTACATGGATGTTTATGTAGTACGATATATATATGTTTATATGAATTTGAAAGACCAATTCAATACAAATCTCTTTTTGTTTTATTTCAATTTCAATTAAATAATAATAATGTGTTATATTCAATGTTCATAAACTTGGCAAATATTTGCAATGTTAAGTTCCATTACGATTATCATTGAATAATTTAATGTGGATAGAGATATGTGCTACTATTATTGGTCACAAAGGAATGTGTAATTGTCTTTTTCTTGGATTCATGAAAGTATCATGTAATTTGTTTACTTAGTATACAGAAAAGTACTACGAATTATATAAAGTATAATTTGTTATTTTCAAGATTCCAATGATTAATTTAGATCTATTATGATAAAAGACAAGTAATCATTCTATTCAATGAAACTAATAGATGTGTTTCAATGAAGAATATAAAGTTTAAAAGTTAATTAGGATATGAAACTCTTAAAGATATAGGATATTGGCTTGTGTATATAGGCATGAATATCTATCGTTGTACATGTATGTGTGTATGTATCCTTGTATGTATGTATGTATGTATGTATGTATGTGTGTAGGTATGTGATGATATTCTTCTATCCTTATTGTATTGGATACATTTCATCATGAACTAGATTCTAGGAATGTCGCCCAAAAAATCACAACCAATCAGCATAGAGTAGAACAACCACCACCTAGAAAATTTGAAAAAAAACAATTAATCGTAAGAATAATATTTTTATTAGAGAATCAATGTGGACATAAATATTAAAGAATCTTAACCAATTCTCTTCATCTATTTTCTTGTTTGTCTACTACCATACAAAATCTTCCTCTTTTTTTTCCTCCTATACACATTTATTAATAGTGTAGTTACATGTATGTTCATGCTTGTTTGTGTGCGTGCGTACGTGCGTGCGTATATATATATATATTACCCTTATATTAGTTTATGTCTTTCTAACACTAACACCCATATTATACACTATTGCCAACACATTTACATTCTAACAATAATTTAGAAGTAAACAAAGCGTACCCATTGAATTTCTATAGGTTACATTCTATATTTTACTCAATCATGCTACGCCCTTATTACTGATTGGTTAATTTATCTTTTATCAATGATTTACATCGATGAAATAGAATGATTATCAATAATGATAAAGAGAGAGAGAGAGAGATAGAGGGAGACAGAGAAACATTTCACAGGGAAGATTATGATGATTTCCTATGTCTACAAAAAAAAGTGATAGAAAGTAAATGAGATTAATAAATAGGCCAATAAGCGATAGAATTATATATAAGACAAGAATGATAAAAGATAAATTATATGGAAAATACTAATAATAAAGAATATATAAATAATGATGGACTTAATTTAGACATTACAAATTTTATATATTAAATGAAATTGCACCATTTAGAGCCCTCAAATGTTATGGTACGGCCGAGGGTGGAGAGAGTCCATTCTCTCACTCAAAATGCTATCACATGGCCATGCGTATATAGCCGCTAACAGGAAAGTTCTACTCATTACCTTCTTGTGACATTACTGTTGTTTACGAAATTGAGAAGACGGCAAGCGAATATCCAGTGCTTTAATCGAGTTGGTGAAGATGGAGGGTCCATCTAGAGAAGTTGGAAATTCATGGTTCCGAACCAATGGTGTACATGGGATCCAGGATGGCGTATGAACCAATCGTTGGTGACCGGCTACCATGTGATCGCAACTCCTTACGTTGCTCCAGTGCCTTTTAGATTAGACCTTTAGATCGAAGGCTCGGGATGTGGTCCCCACCTACTTCTGTTCAGGCACCCGGGTATTACCCCAGCCTTCACACAAATCGAATGATTTATGTGGCGGCATATGTATTCGGTGCCCCTTTGTACCAATATTTATGTGTTCAAATAAATAAATAAATGTACCAAAAATTTATTGATCTATTTCAAAAAGGATTAGACCTAAGACTTCATCGTGGAACTCCTGGACAAAGGGGGAAACACCGCTAACCAATTTAAGCGGTCACAGAGATTGAACTGATCACTCACTGTGTTATATCTGATCAATCCTGGGTCTTATACTCGGGGCTAACTTAATCGCTAGGGTTACCCAATGTGTGAGAATTACAGAAGTTCTTGGACCTATCTTGTTTCAAGTATATAGGCATATGCAATGGGTATGCATGCGGTGTCGTACAAAGGAAACATTGAGTTACAAAAATATCTGCCCCATGTCTAATAAAATCAGCAGCCTATCTATCAGGCTGAAAACATAACAAAAAGAGGTGATAACAAATACTAGGGTAAGGCGACTAATAACCTCCTCTGAGAGAGCGTTTATACTCATATGTGTGTCAGGAAATACTGGGGCGGTAGCCATGGTGTGAATGACATGTATATAATGTGCAAGTTAGCCTGGTGCAGGAAATACGTTTTCTTTGGGAGTGCTGAACAACTACTCTCCCATGTGGGTGAATACACGTATGTGTAGGCTATGGAATGCATGGAGTAAAGTCTGTGTGTTACCGGTGAGCATGTAACGTATATTTACTCACAGGATATATATACCTGCATGTATGTCAAGTGATACTCGGATAAAAGTTCGTGCGTTAACTAGTATGCAAGTAGATTGTAAATATCCAGGGCAAGGACATTTGCAAACTTCTTTACCTGTTCTTTTGGTGCGATACTATTATGAATATAAATACCTGTGGGACTGCATTCCCCACAAAATCATATTCACGTGGTGGGTTCGTAAGCCTCTAAACCAGTCAAACTAAGTACAGATTATATGGGAAATAACACACAATCGAGGTAATCCACACAAGACGCATTTATATAAAAAAGAAACTGATGAATCATAGTCTTAAGTATCAACGGGAAGATTCAAATAACTAATATAAGTGAATTATAATCATTGAAAAAATAAACGTTTTACGAGAAACCAAAAATGTATTGTTTAAATTTTATTAATATTCTCAGACGAAAGTAGGTATTGTGTATGAGGGGTCCTAGATACGCGTTGCTGAGGAGCCCCATCCCGGGATAAAAAGGCCGTCCAGGGCTTCCAGGCATTCAGCATAGAATTGATAAAGCTACAGAATGGTTCGTTGTAAATTAATTAACACACTCTTAGGTCTAATCGTAAGAACTGAAGGTCCTAGGTATTATACTGATTCAAATCATGATTACTTACTGTTGAACAGTCGTAGTGCTATCTTGATCACCGATGGTTCTATATCTGTTGTCAATCTGCTCTGAAAACTAGATTCCATAAAGAGGGTGTTATGGAGTTGAATGAAAAATATTTTTCTCATATAGATTACAGTTACGAGATTATTTTGCAGTTCTTTAGAACGTGATACCTTCAGAACAAAACTGTATTTATATGATTAGTTTACTAATGAGTAACATGAGATGTAAGTTGAAAAAAAACGTCAAACTTAATTTCATAGTCAATGACTAGATTGAATTTGAATAACGAACGTGTTAGCAAGATAGTTTCTGAAATTATAGTTAACATCTTGTCTAAGTTACAGGTAGCATACGTGTACTATTATATAAGGATTTTACTCAATTTATTCTTTAACGTGAACACACAGGCAGTGGAAAAGTCTTCAATGATATTATTGTATAATCGTGACGTTATACTATTAGATTAGTGTAGGGATAAATTCGTGGATATTAATCAAGCAGTTCAAATACTTAAGGATTTGCTTCTAGACCTGAAAGTCGTAGATTTGGTATCTAATAATGTCATAGTTGTATACCGATAGGGAGACCCTCATAAGACAACTAAACTACTATCTAATGCTTCCTAGTTTTTAATACCTCCCCAAATGACATTAAACCACGACTGATTTACATAAACTCATCAACAAAGTTAGACATTAGCACCGCTGGATACCGGTTTAGTGGTTTAGAAGTGAAGCGTTCGTGCACGAGACCGAAAGTCCTGGGTTCGAATCCTATGTACAAGATTGTGAATGCGCACTACTGAGCTGTCCAATACTAGGACGAGACTACTGTCCAGTGCTTCCAGGTTTTCAATGGTGGCTTAACATTCATCCATTCATGATCTCAATCAAAAAGAAAATTATAATATTTGTTTAATCATAGCACTAACACAATTAAAAACATTTTCAACCATAGCTTTAAATCAGTGACTAACTTTCGTTAGATAACCATTGGAAATCAAAAAGGACTAAAGATGTTAAGCAAAGATGGATGATGGCTAATAGTGGAATCCAGGACGCACGTTTTGTCCTATTTGGAACTTGTCAGCTGGATGCACATATGCCAATAATAGACTGATCAATTGTAGTCCTAAACATCAATTAGAAGATTCAACACAGATAATACAAAAATGTATTAAGACTGAACATTTGTTTCGCATTAGAATGGGCCCGTTCAGTAGTGTCCACTCAAGACCCCAGAAAGACTTAATCTTAGGACATTTAGGCCTGATCTACTATTCAGTAGTTAATATTTCTAACTTTAATTAATTCACAAAATTCTACAATCATCATCTACTGTCGTTGATGATGTTTGTTTTAGTTTAGATCTAGTCAGTAAACACCCATTTAATTTGATTGCTTAAATTCAATCAACATTGATCATTTCATTACAGATAATTTGTGCGTTTACGAATTTTATTATCTGACAACTAAACCAAAAACAGTTGTTAACTACTAATAGTACACACATATTTATTTGAAAACCTGAATTCCCCCACTAGTCACTATCCATCTTTACTTAGAAAGCTTATGACTTAAGGCAATCTATCAGGGCAATCCAAACAGGATACATATATGTCAATAAAAGACTAATCAATCGCAATCCTAAACAACAATGAAGAAGATACAAGTAAAACAATACCAAGTGAATTTAATATAACAGAGTTTTCTAACTTGAATTTTTTTTCTTTATCATATAGTATTATCAACAGCGGGTGGCATTCAAATTTCTTCCTTATTTCATTAACCCCCCCCCCTCCTTTTTGTTGTTTATATTCATTAAAATAAGAACAATATTAAATAATACTATTCAATTATGAAGTGATATTGTACAACAGTTATCTTTCCTTACAAATCATATACAACAA